CGTGGCTGTAGAGGTGCCAGGCAAGAAATGGACAGTGGGAAAGGAGCCATGGGCAGGATCAGGAGATCACAGAGGCTACTGGAAGTGGGCAGAAAACAGAACCTTTTTTTTTTTTTTTAAATTAGGTGTGAGTGACACACGCAGCATATAGATGAGAAAGATGATAATATCTAGTTTAAAAATATGTTGTCTAAAATCTTTGTCTGAAACCTAAACTGTCTTTTTTTTTTCTTCACATTTCTGTGTCAGCATCTGTCAACAGGAGTCCAGACGTGGGAAAAATACTTATCTAAGAACAATCTGTCAGTGCTGAAAATCCACTAAAAGAGCCTCATTTCAGAAATCTGGGCTTGGAGAGGTTTGTGAGGATTTTTTTTTTTTTTTCCTTTTTCCATTCATTATATTGCCAGCGTCTTTGTACAGACAGATGCTCTGTACTAGAAAAGGCAGTGAAGGACCCACACTCACAGCCCACCCAGCCTGGTTTCAGGCCTGCATCCCGGTGTCTGCTCTTTGGCAATTGCTGCATCCTTGCTGGGAGGTTGCAGGCACCGCAGCTCTGCCCATGGACTTGATCCGGAGCCCAGAGAAGTCAACACAAAGATCTCCTCTGAGCTCGCTGGGCTTTGAATCAGGCTTTTCAACAATCCCCTTTCAGAAAGGTGGCACAGGCACTAACTTTCCATACCAGTTGGTCTGGGACTTAACGTAGGGAGGAGGTCAGACTTTCATCCTCAGCATCAGCGTGTATGTGTTGTGGGAATCCACACGGAAGAAAAAACCCGAGGTATTATTCTAACTCCCGTTAATGACTTTTGAGACAAGCCAAATCTTTTAGAAGAAGAACCTTGTTCCTTTTTCACAAGAACTTACGAACAGCTCATCTTCAAAAGGAACAGTGACAATTTGCACTACAGGTATCGAGCATCCTATCTGCTGTTTGTTACACTTTTAAAGTGGAAGAATAACGTCAAACTTGTAAGCCGCTCTTTACCCTGCTGAAACGCCACGGAGGAACACGTGAGTTGCCTTTCCCATCGAGTCCTCCCCTATGCTGGAAACTTCTGTCTGTGCCTGGACCTCTCTTTCAGTGCCAGTGAAGTGTACGCGAATCCGCGGCGCGGAAATAAACGCGGAGAGAATCGCTAGCCCGTGGTGCTGCTTTCCGACCCCGTGCTCCCTGCGGCTCGGGACGGGACGGGACGGGACGGGAGCCTTGCGGGGCACCGATCCGCTGGGCGGGCACCGATCCACGGCGGAGCTCGGCGCCGCGCCCGGGGCTTTTTTTTTATGAATGGAGTAGTAACCCCCGCCCCGAGCCCCCCCCCGCC